TGAAGACTGAACCAAAAGCACCGGTGAGTTGGCGAGAGAAATATGTCTGTTAGTAATGGACAAATGGAAGGACTGAATTAAACTAGAACACTCTTGTTTAGAAGGTGATAAAGCGTTGTTATTACACGGGAAACAAATATTAACTTTGAAGACAATAAGTAAAGTTGTGGTGGAACTGGTAGACTTTCGACCACTTGGTGGCAGCAGAAACAAGCTGTTAACGTGCTAAATACAAATATCCATGAGATATGAAGCAACACTGACACTAAATATAGATGAGCTCTATTAAACCAAACCAATGATCATTCGCATTGTGTTTGCCATTCAAGTGAGGCTCATTTGATTCAGTGTTAATACAAAAATATTGGTTAGTGCAGCTTTAAATATTGCTCTTTGTTCAGGATGTTTGATGGGCTGGGGTTCGATGCTGGTGTTTAGGGTTAGGAGTGAATTGCACAGTGTGTTTTTGAACTGTTTCTGCTTTTGTATGTGCTTGTTATATAGATCAGAAATGTGCAAACTGTATATACAGTGGGGCAAAAAAGTATTTAGTCAGCCACCGATTGTGCAAGTTCCCCCACTTAAAATGATGACAGAGGTCAGTAATTTGCACCAGAGGTACACTTCAACTGTGAGAGACAGAATGTGAAAAAAAATCCATGAATTCACATGGTAGGATTTGTAAAGAATTTATTCGTAAATTAGGGTGGAAAATAAGTATTTGGTCACCTCAAACAAGGAAAATCTCTGGCTCTCACAGACCTGTAACGTCTTCTGTAAGAAGCTTTTCTGTCCCCCACTCGTTACCTGTATGAATGGCACCTGTTTGAACTCATCATCTGTATAAAAGACACCTGTCCACAGCCTCAAACAGTCAGACTCCAAACTCCGCCATGGCCAAGACCAAAGAGCTTTCGAAGGACACCAGGAAAAGTATTGTAGACCTGCACCAGACTGGGAAGAGTGAATCTACAATAGGCAAGCAGCTTGGTGTGAAAAAAATCAACTGTGGGAGCAATCATCAGAAAATGGAAGACATACAAGACCACTGATAATCTCCCTCGATCTGGGGCTCCACGCAAGATCTCATCCCGTGGGGTCAAAATGATCATGAGAACGGTGAGCAAAGATCCCAGAACCACACGGGGGACCTGGTGAATGACCTGCAGAGAGCTGGGACCAAAGTAACAAAGGTCACCATCAGTAACACACTACAACGGCAGGGAATCAAATCCCGCAGTGCCAGACGTGTTCCGCTGCTGAAGCCAGTGCATGTCCAGGCCCGTCTGAAGTTTGCCAGAGAGCATATGGATGATACAGCAGAGGATTGGGAGAATGTCATGTGGTCAGATGAAACCAAAGTAGAACTTTTTGGTATAAACTCAACTCGTCGTGTTTGGAGGACGAAGAATACTGAGTTGCATCCCAAGAACACCATACCTACTGTGAAGCATGGGGGTGGAAACATCATGCTATGGGGCTGTTTTTCTGCCAAGGGACAGGACGACTGATCCGTGTTAAGGACAGAATGAATGGGGCCATGTATCGTGAGATTTTGAGCCAAAACCTCCTTCCATCAGTGAGAACTTTGAAGATGACACGAGGCTGGGTCTTCCAACATGACAATGATCCAAAACACACCGCCCGGGCAACAAAGGAGTGGCTCCGTAAGAAGCATTTGAAAGTCCTGGAGTGGCCTTGCCAGTCTCCAGACCTCAACCCCATAGAAAATCTGTGGCGGGAGTTGAAAGTCCGTGTTGCTCGGCGACAGCCCCAAAACATCACTGCTCTCGAGAAGATCTGCATGGAGGAATGGGCCAAAATACCAGCTACTGTGTGTGCAAACCTGGTAAAGACCTATAGTAAACGTTTGACCTCTGTTATTGCCAACAAAGGTTATGTTACAAAGTATTGAGTTGTATTTTTGTTATTGACCAAATACTTATTTTCCACCCTGATTTACGAATAAATTCTTTACAAATCCTACCATGTGGATTCATGGATTTTTTTTTCACATTCTGTCTCTCACAGTTGAAGTGTACCTCTGGTGCAAATTACTGACCTCTGTCATCATTTTAAGTGGGGGAACTTGCACAATCGGTGGCTGACTAAATACTTTTTGCCCCACTATATTGTTATTTGAATTAACGTGTACGACAAAAGATTCCAAATAAGTGAAAATTGCTGAAATTTAAGTACTGACATACATTTAAAAATTCACTTCATATAAATGAAGGCAAAATAAAGATACTTTAAAGCAAAGTTTTGCAGATAATACTGAACATAAAGGAATAATAGTATAAAAAGTGTAAAGGAGAACTTAAGGATGAGTAATATTATTTCTTTTATTTAATGTACTTATTTATTTATGTGTATAAATAACACCAAATCACAACAACACTCACCTCAAGGCACTTTATATCGCAAGGTAAAGACCCTACAATAATTTGAATCTAACACACGCACGCACACATGCACACACACACTACCAGTCAAAAGTTTTAGAACACCTAAAAACATGTTGCCTAATTGGGCAACATGTGATTTCTTCTTCTATAACGTCCTCCTCTCCCTTCAAATCTCAAATTTATTCACAGTATGAGCTGGCTACATTAATGCATACATGCATAATAAATCATCTGTCAATCAAACTTTATTCATATAGTGCCTTGCACACAAGTTTGAAGGCTCTACAGCTGACTGAAGAACTAATAATAAGAAAATGTAAACAGTATAAGAAATTGGGAGAAATGCACAAGAGAAATAAAGTTTTATAAATGAAAATTGTGGAATGATGTGCTGTGGTTAACAGCTAATATATAGACCAATGACAGGCAGATGAAAGTGTCACCGAAGCTGTTTATGCTGCCTGTCAGATAAAATAGGAAAGCTGATGACAATTAAAGCAGATAAAACCATCACTCTATTATGTATCTGTTTATGGTGAAATCCAACTAAACCAAGTAGAAGAAGCCATGTGTCTTTGGGTTCATTCAAAGAAGTCATGTAGTAGTGTTTGTGACCAGCTGTTTTCATAAAAAAATAAAATAAAATCTTATAATTATATGTGATATTGTACATGCTGCATTTATCCAAGACTTACAACATTTTTAACACTTTTGACTTTTTAAAATTTATACACTGCACAGCAACAGCTACCTAGTGATATGGTACAAAGCAAACATAACCAACATATGCCACATATGTCAGCATATGATGACATTAAATTGTTGCCATCAGGAATAAAGATCTAAAAATATAACAGATAAAATATTTAAAAATATAACGGACACTTCTTCTGTACTTTCATGGAAATAAAATAGACTTAATTTCTGAGAAGTCTTCCACTTACTTTCTCCATATGAAAAGGGGAATACACAAATTTCCACAAAGGGATTTCCCAGTAAAATGTTTTGACTTGTCATCCTGTCAGCATTTGTGAGGGGACCTATTAGATGCAAAGTTACTCCAGTAGTCTCTACTAGAGTAGCTTTGTATCATAGTTCAACAGAATCCTTATTAACCTAATACAGGGTGTTGGTGGAGCTTAGGTTCACGACTGAAGCCAACAGTTTTAGCTTGAGCTTCTGTTTTAAACAACTTTTTTCTGATTGGCTGCACCTCATGAACAAAAGACCTGAACAGCATGTGGACCAGGAGTCAGTGCTCTTGAGGAGACCATATTAGAGATCTACACTCTGCATGGCATCATATAGATCCAAGAGTAGAAAAAAATGTGTGTTTAATGCACCCTGAAGTGTTGGCTTTTTACTCAGTGATACTTGTACATACCTTGAGTTCAAGTGTTAAATATAAGCATTCACCAGTGAAACAGGACATAGATGACAGAAGATAAAGTCCCTTTGAAATAAAGACACTTAAATGTTAAGTTCACACTATGAGCAACAAAGGCTACATTCTTACCAACTTGCTGCAACGTCGTCTGTGGACTCGTGTGTTAGTGTGCCAACATGGCATGTTTCATCACAAGTGCAGCATTGAAAAATTATAGTCGAGGTCAGCTTTGTTGCTGTCAAACATTCATTTATAGCTTCCACTGAAAAGGAGTGTGAACACATAAAATACTCTTGAGAAATGAATAAATTATGACAGAAAGTGAAGAAAACAAAACAGGAACTATCACCGAAAAAATGAAGCCTAATTAACAGGTGTAAATTATATTATGTCTTTGACAGTTCAAATTCTTAACTTAGTTGTCTTGTTGCATGCTCAATCACCCAGGCAAGGAAACCCCCAAATGTTGATTCTGTTCATCTCGACGTAGCATTTTCAGTGGGAGAAATGCACTCACTGACTTCTTCATTCTCAAATGACTGCAGGTTTCCTCAACATTATAAACAGTCCATTTACATAATGACTGAAACTAGCACCACTGACGAACAATGGACTGTGAGGCCAATTTCCTGATCATTAATATGTAAATTGTCATGACCACTAATCAACAACCACTCATCATGAGTACCATTTGCAGAGAATTGGTGCACTTTTCAGTAGTTTCCACAGAGAGACAGTAGTGAGCCTGAACAAGAGTAAACAGTGTGTTCCCGTGTTTGTAGACCTGTTGAAAGTATGAATTCAAATGGAAATAATCAAGAAACAATCTAGACTATGTCTTTTCAGTCTAGATTGTGTAACTAGAATCTAGTTACACATTTATTTTTATTTAACCAATATATCTCGTTGTTTTCCCTCGCAAGTTTCGTTTATTTCATTTTTGTGTTTCTGCCTCTGTGTGTGTGTGTTTGTTTGTGTTTGTGTATGTTTGTGTGTGTGTGTGTGTGTGTGTGTGTGTGTGTGTGTGTGTGTGTTTGTGTGTGTTTGTGTGTGCCCGCGTGACGATGCCGCCTCCTGACGTCCAGGTGCTCGTTGATAGTCAGAAGCGCGTGCTCTAGGAGGAGACTCACCGATGGAGTGATCCGCTGGACGGAGGGAAGTCACAAATAATTAGACATGCGGGAGTGAGCGTGGAGGTAAGCTGCTTCACCTCAATGCGCTTTGTGTGCGCGCGCGCGCGCGATGCTGGCTTGACACGGCATTTGACAAATAAACAAGAGGAAGCAAACAGCAGCGGGTTATCCTTCTCTGTCTGCACATCGGATTCAACAGTCAGAGGAGGCTCGCCGGTTTCGGGACAACTTGTATTCCGGGGTCGGCTCCCTGCTAACTTAATTTAATTGTCTTTATTTTTGTTCGGCTTGGTCGTACTATCGCGTAGTTTACATTTCGGATCGGTACTCGACTTGCCCTCCGGTTCAGACTGGTGGAGTCACTCGGGACCTTTCCTGTACCGTCGCCGCTCCGCCTCAGGAATGTTTCCGCTGTGCTGCAGCAGCGCAGGTAAGACAGCTGGAGTGAGTGCTTGGAGAAAGTTTGCAGCTGATGGAAACCACTGTACTTATTCATCCGCCTGTTTATCGAGGTGCTTATCTGGACGGGATGAATTCCTGATGAGGCAGGTTTGTTGTAAGTGACCACTATTAAAGGCTGAAGCTGTGTAACCCAGAAACTGACCAGCTGTAGCCAATATGACAAGAATCTTGATAAATAAATAATAGTTGAAGTTATATGTCTCCGGTACTGTATCTCCTCAGGTGATCTCGTTCACCAGTTCAGGATCTAAAGTTGTTGTGTAAAAAATGACTGTATAATCACTGAAAAAAAAATAATAATAATAAATAATAATATTTAAATTTGGAAAGCAGGCAATATTATTATTTCCTTATAGCCTTATTATCATATATATATATATATATATATATATATATATATATATATATATATATATATATATATTTTTTTTTTTTTTTTTTTTTTTTTTTTTTTGCTCATAGCAACTTTTAGAATTACATTGGTGAGATTACAGGAGACGAAACTTAAGTTTACATACAGCATGCATCCAGGGGGCATGTACAGAGGTGGTCACAGGGTGTCCCACACCCCCTTGTTACTTAAATTCTACTAGAAACACTGTCAAGCCTAAATGAAGATGTGGTCCCAGCTAATAATATACATTTATAATAGGGCACGCATCCATACACAAGCCTGATGTGTTCCCCGTTATATCTATGTAGTATTCTGAGATTCAGAATCAGAACACCCCATTTTTTTCAGTTATATATTGCAGTTCAAGTCGTTCAAGTCCAATGAATAGCTTGAAATGGTACCGCCATTGGTCTACTGAAGACTGGAAGAAGGTATTATGGACTGATGAATCAAAATTTCAAATCTTTAGTTCATCACACAGCATCTTTGTATAATGTCCAGTAGGCATTGGTTCTACAGTGTGGCATCAACTGTCAAACATGGAGGAGTAATTGTGATGGTCTCGGGCCAGCAAAACCCCATCAAGGGGTGAAAGCAAAGCAACCTACAAGTGCCACACATTTATGGGACCTTCTGCAACAGATATGGTCCCATAAATATTTGATTTAAGCCACGGGTGTATTCAGCTTTTATACCTGCCAAAATTTGTGTCTTCCAACAACCAAAAGAACTGGGGATCTTTTGCTTGTTAGGTGAATGTTTAAACCACTACACTATAGAGCCACTCAGTGGCCCAAAAGACTAAATAGTACTTTCTTAAATAAAATGTTAGATTTTTGTGTTGTGTGTTTCTGAAACAGACATTTACTTGCACTCCAGTTCATCATAGCTTTGCACAGATAAATGTAAAACCCTTTAAAGATGCTGCAAATGTCTGTATGATGTCATTCGCTTATGCTGAGCATGTGTTTTAGTGTCTGTGCCACACAGTGACTCATCTGCTGCTTATAGAGGGATGTCCCTAACCAAACCACATGTATTAGATCAGGTTACACATGTCTATATCTGAAGCCTTAAAAGGAACTTTAATCAGTAGTTTAGCCTTGCATACTTATTTGTTGGTAAAAGTTTATGAGAGACTTTGAACTTTGCTATCATATTGCTCTGCCTCGTATCAGGCACCCAAACATAACCAATATGCTTTTTGCACTTTTGAAGCATTGCACAGCTCTCCCACACCACACACCAGCTGTTAGCCTGCTGTGTGCAGTACTCATGAGGTTGCTTTCCTCCCAAAGTTTAAATTTGCCAATAGTAAAAGTCTTCCAACATTTTTTTGATGTCCACTTCCACAGTAGGTAGAAAATTGAACAAAGTTTTGTGCAGAGGTATCAAAATGCCCGAGGTCTGAAATGATTTCTTTATGCCACCGCTGGACAGAACAGCCTGGATGTTTAAGTGTACTATAGTAGTTCCCTTATCAGTGTTTCTGTGAGACAGAGCTGGGTGGAGCCAGCTGGTTTACGGAAAGTAGGCTTTCAAAATAAAATGCCCTGGACTTTTCTCAGTGAGTTCTGTTTATTAGCAGTAGGTCCTCTAAGAGTGATGAGACAGCCATTTCTTCTGTAGCTCCATGTGTTTTTGTCAAAGTGCAAACAAAAAACAGCTAAACTTGATTGTAGGTTTTTTAAAGTGTGAGCTCAGAAATGCTGTAGAAAACACAAAGGTAACATTTTTATCTTTTGGGGGTTAAACATTCTCTCTGAATTTGCATTTATATCCTGGTTCTTCCAGGATAAATCCCCCAGAGAGGTCATCTCCAAAGAAGATCAGGTTACCAAACCTCAGTGTAAAAGTGCACCCTATAAAGAAAGCGCTGTCAAAGACAAAATGGGTGCTTTATAGAACAAAATACAAAAAAAAATCATCATAATAGTATCCAAGTTATCACGTTTTTATGGTCATTAAAATCCAGAACTTCAATTAAGATTAAAATCCAGCAGGGAGAAATCAAGTGAGAGTTCATTAAATGGGTTCTTTTGCTCCAAAAATGTCTTTTGAGTGCACACCATTTAAAAAAAAAACCTACTGTGTGCTGTGTGTTACTGAGATATTTAATGATTATCACATGGCTACACAACCATAAATACTTGTTGATCTTTGCACCACCATTACAATGTGTTATCACTGGGTCTGTCAACTTAGCAACAGTATATTTGTACTAAATCAGTTAAGTTGCCAGTGTTATCTTCTACAATAACTTTCAGACAATTTCACCTCATAATAAAAATCATAAAAGTTTCTTAACTAGCACCGTCTCGATAAGCTGAGTAAACTGATGCTCTATTTGGAGTTGTGTTCACTGTCTTTTAGCTCTTTTTTTGGTCATCACCTTCACAGGTAATCAACCTGTTAGGAACAGTTTAGCAGAGGTCTAAACAATTGTTTCTCTCTACCTTGAGGAGTGTTGCTAGCAGGAGTGAGTCCACACATTCAGAACCAGTTCTGGAACTGGAACGCATCAGGTGTGACTTGCTCCTGTTCCTGATGTCTGGTGGTTCTTGTGAACTGGGATGCCTGGGATGGAGTCAGATTTCCGGCATGATTTACTGCTGTCCTATGCCTCACTGTGTCCACCAGCTAGTTGTTAACTCTGCCTGCTGTTTGTTGTGTCTGTGCTGTAGCTTAAATGGAGTTTGTTTGCTGCGAAAATGCTGAGAAAACTGTTTGCAGTCAAGAAATATCAGAGAATTCCCATCTGGACCTGAGATTAAATATTTTCTATGCATACAGCTAATTTCAAGCTTTGTGGCTTGTAGCGGAAAATCACATTTTGTGACTTTTGTTGATACCCATTTAGTAAAACATGGACAAATCCAGAGAACTGCAGTACCTGTTACCAGTGTTGGGCAAGTTACTTTGAAAAAGTAGTAGTTACTAGTTACTTCTTCAAAAACGTCACTGAGTTAGTAACTGAGTTACAAGATTCTAAAAGTAATTAATTACTTGAAAAGTAACTATTGTGTTACTTTAAAAAAATGTTTAATAATGGGGTCCAGGGTATAATTGGCCATTTTTAACTACTTTTGATTTGACCTCTGCATTTCACCTTTAAAAACTATTTACTTTGCCTTGTTTGGTATCATTCTTTTCAGCACAACCTCACATGTCTGAATTTACAGTTGTGTTTTAATTTTGACATACTGTAATAACACAGTTGATCTAAAATCAGACAAAAAACATAAAATCTGAGTAGAAAAAGTTATAATTATCACTGTAACAACCACAAACATGTTTATTGAATCATATTTCATAACTTTCAATTCAAATATAAATATAAATTTTAAAATCATACGCGCAAGTTTTGCAAACAACAAAGTTATTTGCACCAATTTACCTTTTACCCTTTTTTTTTTAAAATAACCTTCAAACTATTTACATAACCATCAACTGTTCTGCAATCAATAAGATGTCACACAAATTTTTTGTGCCACTCCAAAAAAATAATTTCTGTCCACCATAAAGGAGAACATCACAGATACCTGCAGGTCTGACAGCAGCAGGTGTATTACTACTCCGTTTTTCATTCAGCAGTCGCCTCATTGTTCTGACACACAACACAAAACTATCCACAACACTACACACTAACTACACAAGACAACACATTAACTACACACTCCAAACATGCTAAACGTCACAAATCTCTCACATTTCAAAACTCGGTCTCTCTGTCTCTCGCCGTCACTCCTAAAACTTCCCCCTCTTCCTAAACAACCAAATGTCATTGGCTTAATTGGCTCTTTCAAAGGAAGAGTACCCAGCCACTGGTACAGATATTTAGACGACACCTGGGTCAAAATCAAGACACAAGAAGTGGAATCCTTCACTGCGCACATTAACGCTGTGAATAAAAACATCAAGTTCAGCAGGGAAGACACAAAGGATAACTGTTTGCCTTTCCTGGACTGCGCTGTGCACATTGAAGAGAACGGCAACCTCAGCATCGAAGTTTACCGGAAGCCCACACACACATGGACCAGTACTTCCTCTTTGACTCCCATCACCCTCTGGAACACAAACTTGGAGTAATTAGGACCCTACACCACTGGGCAGAACATGTTCCCTCTAAGCCTGAATGAAAAAAGAAGGAACACACACATGTAAAGGAAGCACTCAAAACGTGCGGCTATCCTAAATGGGCGTTCTTAAAGTCAGCAAAGAGGCACAGAAAAGAAGACCAGACACCAGCGAGGGAGGATAAGAAGGACAGACGCAACAACATTGTCATCCCCTATGTAGCTGGTGTATCAGAAAAACTCAGGAGAGTTTTCTCCAAGCATGACATCCCAGTGCATTTCAGACCAAGCAACACGCTCAGACAAAAACTGGTTCACCCGAAAGACAAAACTCCTAAACACAAACTTAACAATGTGGTGTATGCTGTACAGTGCAGCGAGGAATGCCCAGACCTCTACATTGGAGAGACCAAACAGCCACTTCACAAGCGCATGGCACAACACAGAAGAGCCACCTCTTCTTCACCACAGGACAAGACTCAGCAGTCCATCTGCATT